ATTCTTTTTATCAAATACTTGGTGACTAACTCTTTTTTTTTTTTTTTTTTTTAGGAGTGTCTTGGTATATATGTCAAGGAAGGAGTACTAAGCGTTTATAGAATTTGGCTTAGTTGGTTTCATTTGGATATGGGAAAGGAAAATGTGCAAGTTGGGATATATAGGAAGTGAAGTGGGCTATATATATATGTGTGTGTGTGTACATAAATATTTAGATATATATAATTGAATTTTGTATTATGCTTGAGTGAGAGTGAAGGAGAGTGTGTAAAAGATATTATGGGATGTGGGTTTTGTTCCTTTCTTGTTAGTGAGGGAAATTTTGGATTTTGTGTGTGAAAGTGGACTGCATGTGATGCAAACTTTGGCCCCCTCTCTCTCTCTCTTTAATAAAAAGGCTTGTAAGATATAATCAAAAGGTGGTCTTCTCAATATTGTGGGAACTATATAATATATTTCAAAGCACTAAGATATGGAATGAGCTTTTAAACACTATAAAGAAGGGGAATAATCACTTTTACTTGGTTATTAAAAACATATATAGATCATAATTAAGTGATGTGTTTTGGAAGAATAAACTTGGGCAGCAAAAGAGAAAAGAAAGAGGGGGAAAAGAGAAAGGGGAATGAAAAGAGCTAAGGATGGAATGGTCGTCCGCCAATTACGAGGACCTGACCAAAAAAGAGGAAAGGACTGGTGCTGTCTGTTTGAAGGGATTGAGAACTGTTATTTCGTGTTTCTCCCTTTTCTTCTTTTTTTTTTTTTCCATTTTTCTTCCTTTTTTTTTTTTTTTTTTTTTTTTTTTGCTTTTTTGCTTTTTTGCTTTTTTCTCTCTTCTCGAAGAAGAGGAATAATAATGCCTTTGATGATTGATTGTTTGATGATTCTTCATAATCACCAACCACAATTTTGCATGAAATCCATGTAAACAAAAAGAGTGTATCATCCTCTCTGTTCACTTCCAAAAGGTTGGCTTTGAGGCTCTCCTTTGTTTCAAAATCATTAGTTAGCTTAATTTGTTTTCCATTCTCTTCCATTTGTAGATGATAGAAATTTATTACATGTTTCATGGTTATGTGAAATTCTCAATGTCCCCTAATTTTTGCTATTGGTTTATATTTTTTAGATTACTATCAATTATTAATCGTTGAATGATAAAAAGAAACATTTTGAGTAGGTTTTTATTTTTATTTTTTATTGTTTAGCAACAACTGATAATTGCTTTTTCAATAGCAATTTTTGCTTTTTTTTTTTTTCCTTATTTTTTAGTTGTTGAGGTTTGTTTTGCTCATAAAACACTTATTAAGACATTGTTGAGCTTATTAAAACCCTGAAACATTTATCCAAACTGAAAAAAGGGTCAAAAGCGGAGGAAACAAAAAAAAAATCCTATGTTATATGTTACGTTTCAAAAAATGAAGGGTAAAGCGTTACAAAAGTATAATTCAAAGAAAATTTTTATAATTAATCCTAAAAAAATTACACTTATAAATGGACCCACTGTAGAGACTGACCTTCTGTTTCCCGTCTTTTAACTTTGTCTTGGCTGATGCAAGAGAGCCCAAATGGCAGCTATATGGACAAGAAAAGGCAAAGGAGGTTGAGAAAGTCTGGTAAAATGTCCCTAGGGCAAATTCTCTATTATATTTTTCCATGTTATTTTATCCTATTTTGTTAATTTTGCATCATAATTTCATGAGCAGTGTTGCATTCGACCAAGTAACATGCCAGTTCTTGATTGTTATTATAAGATTAGAAATATCAGGGAAAGTTAACATTTTCTGTATAGCCATCTCTATAATTTCGAGTTTATTTATATTTAAAAGAAAAAAATCTGAAATCTCGAGTTGTGAAGATTCGATGGTATAGTTATATGGAGCCAATTCATAAAAATTCTTGATTAGTAAATTTTCTCTTCTCTTGATTCGTGAAATGCAAGCACATCTTATTGAACTATGTTAAATCTTTATATTCCTTTCTTCTTTGATTTTCAATGTAAACTGCATGTTGAGACCTTATATCATCCAACAATTAACTTTAAGCACTTTGGGACCCACCATTTTTTTTTTCTTGTGGGATTTTTATTTTTTATTATTATTTATGATTATTGTTTTTGGACTTTGAAGAATGAGTCATCGTGTCAAACAATGAATTAAGAAAGTAATAAAGAGAGTGACAGAGACATTGATGTTAGTATTTATTTATCCCTCATTGTTTTGAGAGCATAACTCAAGTTCCATTTTGCAGTACTCAAAAAATTTTGTAATCAACGCTTTTTTTTTTCAATATCAAATCTCAAATAATGCATGTTTGTGACAATGTTATTGTTGAGGTCAGATTTCGTACCTCATCTCTCACTGTAGACGTGGCAACTTGGGCTTCCAAAGGTCACTAGATGAGTCACCGCGACTTCTCGAGCAGGTTGGTCGACTAATCAACTCCACCGGTCGATTCCACGAGTCGACGGATAGCCTTGGACATCAAGTCACGAGAGAATATCCTCAAGACATCCCTTATACGAGATTTGGCAACATAATCAGCTAGGAAAGGAAAGAAATCAACTGCTCCAGCTAGAAGAATTAACGAAGAAAAAAGTCAATGATCGACTTAGGCCGCAAGATACCCTTTCATTGGACGAAATTGATTGTCTTCCACATGAGGAAACTATATCACCAATAACTCAAAATGGACAAGAAACCATGATTGACCGGTTGATTATGAACAAAACCAGTTAAGAAAAGTCATGTTGCGCCTAAAAAGAAAGGGAATATCAGGAATTGAAGACCATATCACACAGAGAATTAGGAAACAACTCGTAGAGCCTCATCAACTATAAATACAAGGCATTTAGACATAGTTCGGCATGCTCCATTGCACACAAAAGCTCTCACGGTCATTTCTAGAAAGTTTTTCATTTCTTACTGTATTTTCCAGCATATATTTTTCTCTCTCATCGTGTTCCTCTCAGAACAACTCATTGTAACGTTTTTCAGCAGTCATAGTGAAACCACTGGAGTCCTACAGCGGACATACCTTGCATTATCATAAGAATCACTATAAATTTTTGTGTCTTTTTACAGCTTTCACTTTACTTTCACGTTTAGTAATGCTCTTGTTCTTACAGCAGATCAATTTTACTAATCGACGACTCTAACTCAGTCATTGACTCTTGATTTAATCAATTGTAAATTTCACCATCTACCATTATTGATAATAGAATGGCTGCAAAAAATCAGAACATAGATATCTGTTTCGACCGGCAATTTAACTTTTGGTTGACGTTACACAGTTCCACATATCCAGATAGATTTGTACGTATGAATTCCTTGATATCAGTAAATTTAACACTCACACGAATTACATGGTTATGTGGTGCTAGAATTCTGGAATCAAAACACTTGCCATCTTTCCACTCTAATTTCCATTCAATGTTTTGAAATACTGTTATAAATGTACATTATCTTTCTTCAAAATTTTTAAATCTGATGTAGAGTTCAAACAAAACTTCATAAAATGCTATGGGTTTTTATGGTGTTTATCCTCGATTTGATGGGCAAAAGGGTTGTGCACGGTTTGTCTAACCACCGAACCAGACAAATCCAATGGTTGTTGAACCGACTGTTTGATTCCTCGTCAAAACCATACGTATGTCGACGGTCTAAAATCAAACTGGACCGCTTAGCTTCGGTTCAGAAAAGTTTATACAGTTTAAATTGAACCGAACCGTTTTATGTGTACATATTAAAAAATATGAACTATTAATTTATTTGTTAATTTTAGACTTTTTATAATCCTTATAGAATGCTAAATTTAATAGATTATATGTAGTATATGATTTTTTCCAATTGTTTTATTTAAAAATTTTATTTAAACTTTAAGAAATATAAAATAGAGTAAGTAAAAAACCAAAAACCAAAAAAAAAAAAAAAAAAAAAAAAAAAAAAAATTCCAAA